GGAAGTCCAGCCTGGCCCCTCTATGCCGGATGTTCTTTTCCATACCCCTGAAGGAAGAAACTTCCCTGGCTCAATTCCTCCTCTCTCGAAGTAGTGGAAAGCAGCTCCTGCTGCTCTCTCCTCGCTGATCCCTCCTGTGCAAAGAGAGGGGGATTGCCTTTGGTGAGCTGGCCCATCTCCTGGTCCTGATGCGAGAGGGAATGTCCTTCCTCGCTAGCTGGCTCCAGGAGGAGGAGGGAGGTTGGTCTTCCCCGTGTAGCTGTAGCGGTGGCGAGATCCCAGAGCAGCCCCCCAAGCAGAGCGAGCCGCTCGCCCTGCCTGTTGGTTAACCGCGGTTTGTCTTTTGTCACCTCAGGAGATTCCAGCAGCAGCAGGAAGCAGAGAACAGGGACAAGGAGCAACAGCAATGGGTGAGGTTCAGTGTTGTCCCATTTGGCGAGGCTTTTTACACGTCCCCCGCGATGGAGAGGAGCCGAGCTCTCCCGCCAGAGAGGGTTTCAGGGTCCCGCGGTGCGGACCGCGTTGGCGGCAGAGGCAGGCAAAGGATAAAGCAGCTGGTTTATACCTCTGTGAGTTGAGATGTGAGCCATGGGCGCGGGAGTCAGGTGCCACGCGCTGCTCCCCTAGGTCTCGCGCTCAATCCCCACTTGCGCTGGCGGCGTGTCTCCGTGCTCCCCTCTTTGCAGGGCAGGCGGGGGGCTGTCCTGCAGCTGACAACTAGTCCAGCCACAGTCTCTGGGGAAACCGCTGGCTGCAGCAAGTTTAAAACTCTGCTGCCTTTCACCTGCTTGGCTTCGGGGCCATCAGGTGAAGAGCCCAGGGATATTGGGGGAAACCAAGCCATAATCCTAAGCCCAACCCAGCAGACCTCCTGCGTGTCCCTTCTGAATGCTTCCTATTTACCTGCCATCACTATTTCTCTTCCTTGTTCCCATTTCTCTGGCCTTGGGGGATGGATGGAGAAGGAGGGGGTTGCCCTTGTGCTTGCGGAGGGTGTAACAGACCCTCTCTTGTGCCACAGAAGGAGCAAGCGGAGGAGTACGAGGCCAGGCAGCGGAAGGGCTTCAAGAGAAGCGAATCTGTGGAGAAAGCCCAGGTATGTTGCAAGGAGCTCGAGTGCTTTGCCCCGTGGCTGCTGGCCGCGTCGGCTCGGCTCTCTGCTTTACGCAGGGGTAGGGGATGCTGTTCCTAACCTCCGATCTGCTGCCTTGGCAGTGGCTTCAGCAAGGTTCGCGGTGAGCGTTAAGGAATGCGGGGAGCCGCGTTGGTTTCCTTTAGTCTAGAAGGGGCCACTGTAAGGCGCGGGATGAATTTGGGGGCAGCCACGCTGAGACGCACACGCGGCCCAGCGCCGCAGGGCCGGGCGGCGGGAACGACGGTCCCCTTCCAGCTTTTCCAGCCTTCGCTGGAGTACGTAGCTCGGGTTGACCTGGGCCCCTGCGCGCTTTTCCTCTTCGCAGGAGGCTGCGTCGCTGATAGCGCAGAGGTCAGTGAACCCCCGGGACATCTTCAAGCAGAGAGAGAGGTCTGCGCCTGCGGACGTGGTGACGGCTTCCCAGCCAGGTAGGAAGCAGGGCTGAAACATTGATAGCGAGAGCTGTGCCGCCTGTGAGATAAGCTGTGAGGCAGCTCCCGTTCCCTGCAGGGGAGACACGTCTCCACACCCTGTAAATCTGTGCACAGAGAGTGCTGCTGGGGGTGGGCTGATGTAGGGGTTTTATCAGCACGTGTTTGGGATGGGTGTGTTACCCATCAGTGTCACGGTTTCAGCTGAGCACTGATAGCTCTCATCACACGTCGTCCTCTGTGCTGTCGGCAGAGCAACGTCTAATGCCAGGTTTGCCAGGCGTTTGGCTCTTTTCTTCCCTTGTGGACTGCGTGAGATTTTAAGAGCCAAGATTGACGTTTACCATGCTTGGACTCCACTCCTTGAAGCTTAAATTTTTTTCTTATTTTTAAATGAAAATTAAATATTTTTAATTTATAGTTATTTTTATAAAGCCGGAAAGGGACCGCTGTCATAATCTTTCCCGGCTGCCATAAATTTCGCTTTTTCTTCTTGCCCGGGGATTTGAACCAAGCAGGTCTGCATCCCTTTAGAGGAAGACCAGCGTGACATTTCAGATACAAAACCAGGAAGCTGTGAAAACTGAAGCTGAAACTGTAGTCGAGGAAGTTGCTGAGAACACGTGATACACCTGAATGCGTAGCTCCTTCTCAGTTAGCTTAACCTCCTTAAAAGTAGCTTGAATTAATAATTAAGAACAAGCATTTTTTATTTTGCGATAGGGCTTCAAATGAACTTTCTTGTGTAGACAAGCCATCAGTGGGGCCGGATGAAATGGCGTATGTTCTTCAGAGGAGATGCTGGGATTATGTCTTTCTTGCTATTTAAATACCACTGGGGAAGGGTGATTTTCTGAGGGTGAGAAACCGCTCTGGATTTCCCTGCTTTGTGTTCGTGTGTGTGATGTTTTGCGCTGGATTGTGCTGAGCAAAGGAAGACAAATGCGCTGTTACTGATAAAACCCATGGGCTAAATCTGGGCTGATGAGTCTTAGGGAGCTGCTGATTGCTCCTTCACTGCTGCGCGCTGGGGTAGGGCTTGTCTTATAAATCTGTTCTGTTTTTGTTTGCGTTTAGAGGCAATTGATGGGTTAGATAACAGCAAAATGAAACCTTCTGCCAAAGGAAAGTACATTGACTTAAAAGGCTGGCAGCAGTGAATTCGCCTCCTTCCCCTCCCAGGCCTAACGTCTGTGAAATTCAGGGTGCTGCGAAAATCGCTTCTGACTGCCCGGAGAGCGACAGGCGGGGGAGCTGGGTGGTGGTGTCCTTTGAGCTACTCTTTCTCCCCCAAATTACTTCTCTTTTGCTCGGCTGAAGCTAGTGCTGTGACCAGTAGACAGACTTGTTTTCCAGAGCTGGGATTAGAGCTGGAAAATCGTGCTGGGAGGATAACTGAGCAGCGGGAGCTTCAGGGAAAAAGCACCCAACAACACCCTTTGGGGATGGACGCAGTGACTTTTGCCTGCTGCTCCCTGCGATGGTGCAGCTGGGGTGTCCTGGGGGCACGCTCTGCCGATGCCCTGGGTGCAGGGTCGCGGCAGGCTCCCGGGTGAGCAATTTGGGCTTTGGCAGTTTTCTCCCTTAAAAGCGAGGAAGTTTCACACCAGGAGCAGGCAGAAAAAAAAAAAGCTGTTCGTTTCCATCGCGGAAAGGGCAGCGCTCATCGGTCCCCGCTGCCTGGGTGTGACGGTCTCTGATCGCTGCCATCGGGCAGGCGCCGTGCCTCGCTCGGCGT